ATAATAATAATAATAATAATAGCTTGGATTTATATAGCGCCTTTCATGAGACCCAAGGTCGCTTTACAAGAAAGAACAGGGCAGAATAAACATAACAAAACAAAAGGCAGTCAGACAACCAGTCAGACAGACAAAACAACAAATAGATTAGGGGCCAAAGGCCTTAGTGAACAGATAGGTCTTGAGGGCCCTTTTGAAGGCGTCAAGCGTGGGGATGTTGCGGATCTCCGCAGGGAGATGCGGAAGTAGGCGTGGCTGAATCTAAACTGAGTTGGAAAAGTGCTTCCGGGTCATTTCAGTCTGTTAGAAAGCTTCCTAAGAGAAACACCTTCTCATATCTGTCATATAGAAGTGTGTAATGCGTCTGTGCTGTTGCAGGTTGGTGCAGAATGAGCTCACTGATGACGCAGCGCCACACTTTGCTGACCTGTTCCAGGCAGACACAGGTCTCCTCCACCTCTTGTAAAGATGACACACACCATGGGTCCTGCTGGATACTCTGCTCACACATAGCCTGTCACACACTCACCTCTCTGTGTGTGTGTCTGCAGGTTAATCAGCAACCAGTTCTCTGTGGAGGGGATCCAGCAGCTGGCCGAGGCCCTCCCTCACAACTCAGCCCTCAAAGAGATCTGGTGAGGACCATCACAGGAACTCAAAGGGGGTCAAAACACAAGGTCTTTCTCAAGCCATCAGGATATTAGTATTTATGGTTGGATAGCTTTTGTTTGGTTTTCAGGTTGATATTGGGCCGCTTTAATGATATTTGAATAGTAACAAGGTTGTAGAGACTATTCGTCCTCAAACCAAAAACATCAACAACTTAAATTAATTTAAACAATGACGATTAATAATGATAACATTAGTGTTTGCAAAATGGCAAGAATGTAAATGTTTAACTGTTACATGAATCATGATACACATCAAGAATGGCTGCAACAAAGGTATCAAGGAAGAATATGAAAGGGGTTACTTGTAGTGATCTACACAGCTTTATCTTAAAGGTCCCCTATCATGCAAAATGCACTTTTTGAAACGTTGCTATCAGAAACAATACGCGACGTGTTTTGGAAGTAATATGGTCTTTGTTTACATTAGCAAGCGTCGCTAACACTCAGAGCTAACCTGTACTGGAGAGAGTATGTGTAAAGAAGCAGGATATAAAAAAGGAACTCACCTTGTGGTAAATCCGCGAGAGAGAAAGCATTTGAGCTCCATACTGTTTCAGAAATAATCCTGATGTGGGTTTGAACATGATATGGCGTTTAATCACGGAAGCATTTAGCTGAGTATCTAGGTAGAATTCTCCTGCATAAGCAATAAGCATGCATGAATTCTCCTCTCATGCATGCTCCAAAGGGGCGTGGCTAGCAGCAGCTCCAAAGGGGCGTGGCCGGCAGCAGCTCGGAAACATTTAAAGCTACGGACCCAGAATCAGCACTTCTCTAACAGGGCTGAAATAGAGGGGTATGAGGCTACAATAGAATGGTGCAGTTCCTAAAACCCGGAAGTGAGTTAGCATTTTACCACTTCCTGTTCCCTCGTCTCAGAGCCAATGGGATTTCTCCTTAGGATTTTGGAAAATAGCTGGAAATAAGGTCTGTGTTTGACCCAAATTGAAGAGACGGATCACGTTTTGTTCTACGACATTAAATACATCAGCAGTGACCCCGCTGGTGATTTCTCAAGAGTTTACGTGTCTGAAAAACGATGGTTGTTAACAAGTGGCTGAATAGGATTACAGAAGTTCTCGAGGACGCTGTACGTCATTACACCGAACACATACACACTCCCGCTAAGTTTGTTTGCCCCTGTTCTGCTTGAAAGCAAGTACCTGCCTCCTGCAAACTGTTCAAACAAACACTTCAACTTGGACCATTTTGAATCTGTATTTTTTAATATGGATCTTAAGTTGGCGTGACGTTGAAGTCGTGCGACCCTGCTGTACTCGGCTGTAGTTAGTTTATAGCATAACATTAGCATTTTGCTTCTGGCGATTAGATTTATGATTCGAAAATTATAAAAATAGGGTAGACATGTGAATATTATCCGGCTGAACAAAATGTGCATTTATCAAACAGCTTGTTTTCCACAGACCTTATTTCGAGCTATTTTCCAAAATCCTATCGAGAAATCCCATTGCTTTTTTTTCGAGGGAACCCATGTGCAGCTTACTTCTGGGTAGATACGTCATCCCTCCACTCAGGTGGGTGATCTGTTTGGTATTTTGAGCAAAACACTTCAGAGACATGTTTTTATATTTTTATATATCTGAGACGTATAATATATGCCTAAAAATGGTATAATAGGAGACCTTTAAGACTCAGCTCATTGTTCAGCTGTCAGGAAGTTGCTCCACCTGCTCAGCACACACACACACACAGAGAGGAAGATGTTGAAGAAACAACATGTACTGAATTAACCCTCCCCTGTCTTCGGTAGCAGATGATGTCACTCTCTATGATCTATTCGATCGAAGCAAAGGAAAATATGGGTTTGAAAAGAGAAACATAAAAAGTGATATTTACTGGTGGTGCAATAGGGAGCTGATGTTTTTCCGTAAATAAACGTTAGTTTCTCTCTGTGGTAGTTGAAGAAGCCCCTTACAGCATCAGAGATCACATTCATGTGTTTTAAATTGTGAGTAAATGTGTGATGGTGTGTGTTCCTGTGTCCACAGTGTGAAAGGAAACCAGCTCTCGGAGGAGGAAGAGAAACAGTTTGTGGCAGAGAAGAGGCTGCGCTTCCACTAAGGGGCACCAACCTGAGACCTGCTGAGTCATGTCTTTAAAGAACTGTGTTAGTATTAAAAAGTCCCACTGTCAGTGAAGGGGAATTACACTCGTATATGTACTTCACATCCATGAGGAAACTGTCGCTTTCATGTCATGAAGGAGATGAAAATATTTTAAATTTGAGGTGACTATTACAAAAAAGGGGAAGCACTGATGTAGAAATGTATTTTTATGCGTATAAAACTTAATTTAATTTATTATTTGACTGTTACTCAAGGTGCTTTGACATGGTTTGGGGTTAACTTTAGTGTGAATGTAGGGCCTAATGTTCACTGTGCAGATCAAAAAGAGTGTGTTTTGTTGCATCCTCCTGATGTGCAGCTGGAAAGGGCTTTAGTCACTGAGGACAAAACATGGAGCTCCTTTCAGTGAAGAAGACTACACTATATATCTATTTCCCTACAGAGATCTTTTCCACATCTCATGTCTGTTCTTATAAATTATTTGTATTTGATTTTGTAGAAACGTATTTCTTGTTAATGCCATCCAAAGCAATCACTCCTCTCAAACAGGCCCCTATCACTTCTTGATAAGACTTCTTATAACACTGCCATACAGGAAGTCTAAACATCACAACTGAAGTGACAGAGGCCTGCACACATTGATGCGTAGTCCCTATGGGTCAAGCTTCATAACCGTTGGATACTACATTTCCCATAATGCATAGCAAGCACCCATCTTTTTTGAACTATCTGGCGTTAGCATTGGACACCACCACTATCATAATGAGATGTCCCCACACTGAGTGAAACAAAGTGAGCGCACATACACACAATACATTACATTGCATTTAGCTGACGCTTTTATCCAAGCGACTTACAATAAGTGCATTCGACCAACAAGATACAAACTTGAGGAAAACAGAATCATCAGTTAACCGCAAGTTTACCTTGACTTTCTAATGCTTCTAATGCCATTTTTGCTGAGGTTCAAGGCATTGGCTACAGACAAACAGTGCCATTTCTCCCACTAGTTCAAGCCATCATACTGTATGTATGTATTGAATGTGTGTGTGTATACAGGGGCGCAGTTTACCGACAGGCAAGTGCTTGGACCAGAAGGGGGCCCCCAAATAAATTAGATTAATCCAATCCAATCCAACTTTATTTAAATAGCACTTTAAAACCTCCAGACCAAAGTGCTGTACAGAGAGATACATAACATATAAAATCCCACAGCTCAGCTCACAAAACATTTAATTAATTAATTAATTAAAAATAAAAGATACAAACACAAAACAAACCAGAATAAACGTAACAATTTCAAAATAAAAAAACATAAAAAAAGACTAAGAAGGTCCACAGCAACGACAACATGAGACACCCTTTAATTTACTGCAACGACATGTCGGGAAACCCCCTCAAGGGGGCCCCATGCATAGCGCGCCGAAACTGCTTCTTCATTTCAGATTTGTTGCTCCGCTCCGGGGGGGATACTTTACTGGCATTGATCCGGACCATTGACCTTGTATAAAATTCACAAGTGGAACTTTAACAAAAAAGTTTGAGCACTATGGAGCCAGATTTGGGTCAATATTCTAGCGCGCAAAACAAGCTGCACACGAGCGGAAAATGTGCTTTTACACACGCATGAAATGACCCTCGCGCGCAGATTAAACCCCCGCGAACCAGCCCTCTTGCTCGCTCACGGGAGTGTCAGCCTCACTCGCTCGCGGAGTCTGTCTGCGCGCGCGTGAAAAGTTTTTGACACTTTGGGGCGGAGCCACTGGACTTTGATTGACAGCTGCCAGGAAGCCTGGAGTTGCCAGGTTTGATAAATGCCTGAACTACCAAGAGCCGAGGAGTGACAGCAGGAAGATCAGTTCGACGAGATTGAATGGTAAAGTTGTCCATAAAAAAAACATTATATTCGTTAAGTGTACAGCTAATATATTCTAGCAATACTGCCTGTCTTTTCTGTCTTGCGACAGACTCACCAAAATAAAATACTTATCAAATCGACTCGACATCATATTATTAACGATATATGATACAAATGTAAGACTGACAACAACAATAGTTAGTAACAGTGGCGGAGATGGGAGTAGCTGAATCCTGGCCACCCTATTGGCCACCCCAAACACCCTCACCACGGGGGCCCAAACTATTTTAGAACATTAAGAAAAAAATGTTTAAGTAACCTTTGATCCTCAATAATTAACATTAATATAACGTTATATTGATAATGTACTCACTAAACTTATAATTCATTTAACTTATTTTCTTCCAAAAGTTAATTATCCAAAGCCTCTGTACACCCCCTTCTATTTACATGTAATGGTTTGGTCCCACCTCCGCCTTCAAACAGCACTTTCTAGCAGAGAGTGAGAGCATGTGAGCAGGGATGCTAGTAGGCTACTTACGTGTGTGCCATGCCTCAACGACTAACAAAGTCAGGCTTTCAAAAAGAAAAGAAAGGAGAGAAAGAAAAGAGAGATGGACTAAAGGGCGACAGTATGTCACCCAGTATTTCAAGAGAAAAGGTGAGTGTGGTCCATGAGTGGTGGAAATTAGTATGTTAGCTAAGTGTAGTCCATTGTAAATAATAATTATGTTTTTTTTTTTTACTAAGCTGACATTAAGTACTGTTAATATCTATATAGAAAATGCAGAGGTTTTTAATTTCATTGCTCTTTTAGCTGACATTTAACAAATGCAGTTACATTTTTAGCAGCAATTCATATTAATTCAGTTGTTCCTCCCCCTGGTGCCAGGACCAACAGATCCATCTTT